CCTGGAAACATTCCAGGTCAGGTTGGACGGGGCTGTGAGCAACCTGATCTAGTTGAAGATGTCCCTGCCCACGGCAGGGGGGTTGGACTAGATGACCTTTAGAGGTCCCTTCCAACCCAAACTATTCTATGATCAAAATCAAGGAGTTTTGTGTGTGTATAATTGTTTAGAAGATCAGAGCCTACAGCTGTTCTTTGAATTATGTTGTAGCAGCATTCTTTAAGGATGTGTAATTTCTAATTTTTTTTTCAATTCTTACTCTTACAAGTAAATCCAAATTCTGCTCAAAGGATTCTGGTCTTTATCTGACTTAGAACTGGGGTTACCAATCCAGAAACACCTATGGAAATAGCATAAATCATTTTGTGAAGTATTCAGTAAGAAGCAGTTTTCTTTCATTTTTATGGAGTTTGTTTTTATTTTCTTTTAAAATTTTTATTCGTGCATTTTAATTATAAAAATTACTGCTGCAGATCTTGGGTTCCAACAGTTGTAATCCTCTGTGTGCAAGACTGTGTTTTGGTGCAATAGTTTTTTCTAAACGATTTATGTTGATGTTGATTATAGTTACTGATCTTGCAGTACCCTAGAAAATGCTCATATGAGCAGATATAATTTAGATGACAGAATTTGTACATGTACCAGACCCAAAAGTGTATTGAATAAGAAATTTAGAGCCTCTGCAGGACTTTTATATGAAGTGCGTCATAGGAACCTCCTGAAGTCATTACAGCTAGCTTAGATGTTGAAATGATTTGGGCATGTTTTGTATCTCGTAGAACGATTAGGGTATTAGGTAGTGCATTGAAGGTGGAAACACAGAGAAGTATTTTGAAAAAGTGAAATCATCTAATTTGCATATTAAGAGAAAAATATTTTCTGCTTTCTGAACAATAAACTTGTATCAGCTGTGTAGGGTGCAGCGTCACTGCTTGTTTGGTAGCAGAATTTGAAACTGCTGGGCATGGTGTGCAAGGCTCTCTTCCCCTCCTCCACACCCCTTCCTCTTAACCTTTCTTGAGTAGGTTGGATGCACTCTTAACATAATTTGAAAGACACTCGGACCTTTCAGATCCTGTCAATTTATTTTCGCTTTTTTGGCTCGGTCTCTCTCACAAGTTTTTTTTCTTTTGCGACATTTTTGCTTTGGTACAATTTCTTATTTATTAGAGGTGCTGTTTTTTCTGGATAATGTCTAGTTTGGCATCTCAGTTGTACAAATTTATATGATACTCAGTTTTCCATCAGTGAGAGCTTAGACAGTTGCAGTATCAATAGACTAAGGGACAAACACTTTGTTCTTGTGTATGAATTGACAGATTTCAGTCTCTGCTGTCTAAGGTTTTTGTAATGATTACTGAATGTTTTCTATTCAGGTATCAAGTGGTTTAATAGCGCAGTGAATGCCTGTACCACTGCGTGTATGGTGAAGAGATACTGCTCTGTGATTCCATTCAAAACTGAATGTCAGCTGCCTAAGCATAAAAATACTTACTGTTTAAAGTGGGTGCTTGCTCCCATGTTGTGTTTCATCTGCATGTGCAGATGCAGTCTGGTGGTGCTTGTACTCCTAGGGTTCGATATTGCAGAGCATCTCCTGTGGAATGAGAAGAGTTTTCCCTCTTAATAAGAACACAAATACAGGTCACTTAGTTCTTGTAAAGCTAATTTCATCGTGCTAGAACGGATACATCAGATGAAAAAGACTAACAAGAGGCTGGAAGATATTTGGAGAAATAACCTTTAAAACAAAAGACCTGGATTTAATGCTTTTACAGTCTTTTTATACCTGAAAATATGTATACGTGATTAAGCTGAGATCCTGTGAAAGAAAAAAAATAAGTATTTTTTCTTCCATTTTATTTATAGGTACTAAATGAAGCAGTGGGTGCACTGATGTATCACACTATCACTTTAACACGAGAAGACCTGGAGAAATTTAAAGCACTTCGAATAATTGTCCGAATTGGCAGTGGTTTTGATAATATTGACATCAAATCTGCTGGAGATTTAGGTATGACTATTAAAGACATTATTTTACATCTTATACTTGCCTCCAGAAATCTGATCGCATCTAAGTCTTTGCATTAATGTTTTCTGTATAATTTATAATAACATAGTATGTAAGCTGTATAATTTTCTCATCAAAGTGTTTGAAAATCGTTATAGAGATACTAGCATTAGTTAATTAAGTGATAATATTAACAGCTTTGTGACAGAATGACATTCCGCCTGTTCAATATATACCCAAGGAGTAAGCCATAATTTTTCATCTCTTTCTTTTTTACCCCAATGGTATATTTTAACTACTACTGCTGTAATTCAATCACAAAATATAATTCCATCAGCATGGCATACTGCTTCTGTTTGAATAAAAAATGAGATCATTATCAACTGTCTGAGACTTATTTATGATGCATGAGATTTAGTACTAAACCACTCCATAAAATAGAAATACGAATTTTATAGGAGAATTGGTTGTTGCTGCTTCAGAATAAATTCAGATACTGGAACTATGAAGAGATGGTGCTTAGTGTTTCACTGTAAAAAAGCAACAGTCTGATTTGTACTTTTCTTACTTTAGGATAAACCATCTCTTACCTATAATCTACAGGTCAAACTAACACTCGGAATAAATGTCTACATTTTCTTTGTTTCTTTTCTAAGATTGAGGTGACCAAGTATGTTTCCCAAGTTATGCTCTGGGAAGACCTTGGAAATATTTGTTTCAGTGTGACAGTACTTAGTCCTAGTAATAACCCCATTGGTGTAGTGAGGAGCTGTAATACAGTCTGTGTATCAGTAAATGATAGTAAAATGATCACCTGTTTCTAATGGGCATGTAGTTTGCACAGCAGGCAGAGGCTAACAACTTATTTACAAGTTTCTGTAAAGAACAGATCAGGTCTGAAAGCATGCAAGGCTGTGTTCCTACGTATTATAACTAGTGCCACAGTTAGGCCCATGCATTGTGAGCGCAAGAAAACATGTATACATGCAGAGATTGGCCTGGGGTAAAATCCTAGATCAAAAACCAAAACCTAGGTACAGATGAAAGGCTCCGACCAGTCAGGAGTCCGATTTGTGCAGAGAATCCCTGATAAGAGGAAAATCTTTGCAGGTTTGTTGGCTGTTTCTGCAAGTCTCCATGCTGGATTGTAACCCAAGCTTATAATTTAAATGCATCCACATAATTCTTCAAGCCGGAGTACAGCAGATTTGGGAAATTCTCATTTGTATGAAATGCTAAATGGCCACATTCCTAATCATTCCGTTCCGATGTTGTGATTAGACTGAGTTAATACAGTTAGGATCCATCCTGTTCGTGCATTCCAGTATTTACGAAATACAATTGTCCACCCTGTCAAAAGCCAATAAATGCTGGAAGGCTTACTGTGTAAAATCTCTGATTTTAATAGTTAGGGTGAAATGTTTGGAATTAAATACTAACTCACCACTACTGGGACAAATCACTTTCCATTTGTTGAACTAGTACAAATAATATGTATCTCGAGGAGTTAATATGAGAGTTAATTGCTCTTTGTAAAAAGCTTTGATTCACTCTTGAAATACAGTGTCGAGCTAGACAGTAAAGTCTGACATATCCCTGAACTTCCATCCTAACTTTTTGCATTATTTTTCATAGAGCTGGCTCATGGGGTTGTTACCAGCTTTTCCTATTGAGTATTATTTTCATGTTAGCACTTTTACTCTTCTTAAAATGCATGAAAACGTATGTTTCTTGGATAAAATCTTTAAGATCTGGTCTACTTTTTCTCCAGTTTATTAATTGTTGACTAGAAAATATGTACGAGTTGTGAGTGTAGCTGGATGCAAGTGAAGAAGTGGGAGTCACGGTGATGCCTGTTGACTCCTGAGTTTTTCAGCATTGAACCTATGCACAAGATCGCTGAAACCAGTGGGAAAAGGGGAAAGGGAAGGGAGTGGTAGAAGCGATGGATATGAGTGTGCTGTCTTTCCCTATGTGAAATGTCTCTTTCCTTCATATCCTTGCCTCTCTCTTGCTGCCTTTTGTGGTTCACCATGTCTCTGCCTTTCAGAAGTTAGCTGTTTTTAGAGTTGGGGGAAAATAGGGAAAAAGAAATTCCTACAGTTTAGGAGAGAAATTATCTGACTCTTCTCCCCCAAATTTCCTAAGGAAACCTATTAGGGAGGAAGGTATAAGGTGAGTTCAATTCCTTATTTCTCTTCCCAAATACGTAATAGAACTCTTTAAACTCCTTTTAAAGCATTATTTTGTTGATGCCAGCTCTCAAGGGACATACTTATTAAATTTGTTTTGCCATCTAAAACCTGCATTTTTGCTCCATGAAAAAGACTTTTTGTATAAACAAATGCAGCTGTTTAATATGATGGACTTAAAGGGATGTTATTTTTCAGTCTTGTACTTTACCCCCCAACTCGCGCTTTTTGCCCCATTTTTAAAAAATGGTGAGTTTCATACTACCATTGATGTTAGCAGGATGCAAAGATTAATATTCCAGCAAATGACGCTGGTTTATCTTTGCGTAAATCTAAGAGCAGTGACTCAGCAGGCACTTTTCTCTACAGCAGAGAAAAGAAGAATAGTTCTGCAGGTTCCTTATGTTGGTTTTTACTGATCTAAAGAAAGCTGTAAAAAAGTGCTGGGCAGCAGAATGGAGGCACTTGTAAAATGTAGATAAATATGGTATGAGCTTATTTGTCAGATTATTGTTATTACTATTATTGAAGAGAATGTGTTTTCTTTCTTGCTTCATAAGATATAGTGGTGTTACCTGAGGACTCATTGAATATTTATTTAGGTAAAACCCCAAACAACTAGACAGTAAAAACAGTATTAGGGTGTTTTTTAGTATACAAACACTTTTTTTCCTCCACCGTGAAGTTATACTGTATACTGTTTGTGATCTCAGTCAGCAGAACTGGGACACAGACATTTGTGGGAGCTGATACTTGGCGAGAGAACTCGTAGTAAATAGAAAGAATGGAGAGAGACAAGTCAAAAAGGATACGAAACTTTTTCTAGTAAACATTTTGCTTAACTGCTGTATATTGAGTACTGGAAGGTAAAAAGCAGGATGGGATAACTTGTATGCAATTACAATCACTTGTTGCCTGATCTGTTTTTTGAAGTAAAAAAGGAGTATTGTGAGTCTTGAATCAATCCACCTTCCACAGTTGTCTGTGGAAATCTGTAACGGTCTTTTAGCTCCGTGATGTTACACCCTTTTCAACTAGTAACTTTTCAGCTATTAGGAACATGGACTTAATTTTGCATTACCTTTACATGCCATGCAGAAGCAGATTTTATATTTCCCTATTGACAATTAGGTGGGTTATCTCTTTGATTTGAGGGACCAGGAAAGGGCTTGGGTTCTGTTTGTCGTAATTCTACAAACCCATGTGCAACGCAAAACAAATTGTCCCTCCCTGTGTCATAATTACCCATACATGAATTGGAAATACTAATAGTCATCCTGTGAGGGCTTTATAAGAGTTTCTGTCATTATAAATTATTTTATCTTTTTTGTAACTTGTATAGATAGCTTTTGGGAGGGTATCTGCTCAGTGGTGGAAAGCTAACTCACACAATTAAATCTAAACAATGATCATTAACTGCACTGTTGAGAGCAAGGCAGATTTCTCTTTGCTATTCAAAACACCTAGCTCAGTGTGCGTGTAAAACGCCTACCAAGACTTGTGTTCTAAACTACTTGACATCTTCAATACTTTCCTTTTGTGGTTTCAGTGGTCCGTTTACTGTTTGCCTTAGTTTGCAAACACAATAAATGGTAATAAAAAATCAGAAAAAAAATGTTTGCACATATTTATCAACTATTATGTCAAGTCTTCTGTCTGCCATTACAGTCAGAAACTTAGTATTTGTGCAAAACAGGTGTTGAAATACTTGTAAACTTAAACATCATACTCCTGAATTGCTGTTAAATGGGAAAAAGTAAGAAACATTTGGCAACTGGTATCCTTTCCTTCCGTTCTTTGCAGGGATCGCAGTGTGTAATGTGCCAGCTGCCTCGGTAGAAGAAACAGCAGATTCTACCATGTGCCACATTCTGAACCTGTACAGGAGAACCACCTGGCTTCACCAGGCTTTGCGAGAAGGCACGAGAGTACAAAGCGTTGAACAGATTCGGGAAGTGGCTTCTGGAGCTGCCAGGATCAGAGGGGAGACCTTGGGAATTATTGGATTAGGTATGTTGGCTTGAGAGGTGGTTTAACACTCCTTGCTTTCCGTTGCTTTAAAAAAATGATGAAGATTTGAGCTATAAAAATGGAACACTTAGTTCACTCCTTTCCATGTCAAGCATTCTGTATAATACCACTTCATTCCTGGTGTTTATATGTCTCAAACGTTTTCCCCTTAGACATCGCCATTTCCCTCAGAAAACTTACTTTGTTGCTGATATTCTCTCAATTCTTCGAATTTCTGTACACCTTTCTGTCACCGTATTGCCTGGAGTCAGGCACACTGGTTGTAAGAGGAAACACCATCACTTCCCTTTTCCAGGACAAGGAGCCTGCTACTTCAACCCGGTGTCACATGTATATGTTGTATTTCTCATCCGTTGTCATATCTGGTTCTGTTTGTGCTTTTTTCCTTTTACTGTTTTTAACGTACCTGAGAAGTCTTTGCTGCAGTAACAGCCTGCAGAGCAGTTATTTCGTGCATTTGGTTGAGCTGCATCTAAAATTGTATTTCAGCTCAAAAGAGAGGAAAAATATATGCAAGAAAGTTTGAAATGTTTCCAGACCTAATAAAATCACCTACTTACCTCTCTGAATGGCCCTAAATGTGTTTCAGCATCTAACAGATGGACAGGCTTGCTTGAGATGAATTAATTAGTCTGTTACAGAAGTAGAGAATAAAAACAAGCAAGTCAGTTTCTATATAAAGATTACTCAGTCGTGTGCTTGTCTTATCAAAGATCTGATAGATTGTGGATGTAATTGCTGTGGTATTCATCCACAGGAATTAATAATATGATTTTGACAACAAGGCATGATACTTAAATGACTTCCAGTTACACACTGCTGTCAAACAGCTCAAGCCATGAACTCTTACTTTTGGAAGTTGAGAATAGCCTGGCGTTACACAGTACTTAAATGAGTATGCAACACACCAAAAACATCTTCACAGTCAAAGAATTGCCTTTAAAATACGACTTTCAGGAAGTTAGTCGTGAAGTTGCTTTCTCAAATCTATGCCCGTGTAATTATGCACCTCATTTAAACACACAATGATTATTGCACTCACAGTCACAGCATCTGTACATAAATAATAGACAATCAGCTGCAGTGTTTTAAAAATGGACATGCATACCTAGTTTTCGAAACTTAAGCCTTGGCTCACATGGTATGTGCACGTTTGCTGAAGATATCTGTCCTGTTGGCATTGCATTTTTTGTATTGCACAAATTCCAGACTGAGATTAGAAAAAAATGTCATTCATTATTGACTTTCTTAACTGAATTTTGTGTGTGTTGTTTTTGTTGTAAATGACTGAAAAGTATAGAGAAACAAATGGCTAATCAGATTGCCAATATGTGTGTAAAGCTACGTAAAATGCTAGTTTTTGGTTTTAGTTTTAAAAAGCAAGCCTTTTGTGTGCATGGTATGTTAAAAGGCTAGTAAAATCTGATTTTAAAGGTACACATCTGTTACAGTTATTAACCAGTCAGTTTCTCTAGCCTTTTATTGTTCCTGTTTCTTTTCCTACAATAGAATATTCACAATTTCAAGGAAAATTAAGTTTTAAAGTCAGTTTTGGAAACTTCCACTGTTTCTTTTTGTGCATGTATATGAATAGGCACAACATTTTGATTCTGACCTGTTCTAACAAACTCCTATGTAGCTATGTATTAATGAAGAATAAAAATGTAGTCTTAGAAGATACGGAAATAGGGCTGTACTAGACTTTACATTTGAGCACTTCAGGCACGTAGGCTGTGATACACTCTTTTCTATTATAGATCACTCCAAGAGGCTACCTGTCTCTAGTTTCAGACTAAAATGTGTATTTACAACTACCTTCAAAAGACTGTTGCCCTTAGGTTTTGTTTCTCTACTAGTGGCCTCTTCCCATGTCTGTAGTTTTGCCTCAGTTTATTATTATTTATTATTTAGACATGTCAATGTCAGAAGTGATGAACCACTAAGAGGCTACGAAGTGAATGTATTGCACACAAAATAAACAATTCTCATCATCTGTTACTAAGTCCTTCTTTTCTCTAGTTCCATGTAGTATCGCTGTTTCTGTCCTTTCTCGTTAACGTGTGTCTGTGATCATCTCCTATCTCAACCACAGCTATGTTTCTCTATTCTTGTCTTAAACTTGTGGTCTCTTCAGCAGTGAGTTGCTTAAATTTATCACTTTGCTGCTGCAACAGCTAACTCCAGACCTTCTTCACATCTGTTCCTGGGCTTTTCTCTTGTTTTGCCAAAGAGAAACACCCTAGCTCTTGCCTATCTCTGTGCTAGGGAATGACTATGTCATTCCCTCCAAAGCTTCAGCTATTCACTTCCTTATCCACTGGTCTAGCCAAGTTTTCGTGACTCACTTGCCTTTTTCTTTCCTTCACCCACTCTCTTTTCTTTGCCTCCTCTCATGCATATTCCTGCTTTGACACTTGGTCTATCCTGCTTAATCCTATTACTCCGTGCTCTTCCTTTAAAGTTAACCCCATCTCTCATCCTCTGCTTGTATTGAGCTTGAAGATAAGCAGAGACTCAACAGCATAATGGCTCCTTCATGTGCTTGTTGGATACCATTCGTCATTGTTTTGTTGTTTGGTTAGCCTCTTGAGCTCCTTAGGGCAGAGCCTGTGTTTCTTTCTGTCTTTATGAAGTGTGTGATTCTTTGAGCCTTACATAAATAATAATATCACATCATTAAACAGCTGTCTTTGTCACTTTTTAATCTTTATTACTATCCAGTGTCCTATATTTCAAGTGATGCATCACAAGCTTGGATAGTAAGCCCTGTGTTAAAAAAAGCTACCTTTTCATCTCATATCTAGACATTTAGGGTTTTTTTTTAAAGGAGAATATTTATGAGCAGCACCATGTAAGTACTTGGATGAATAGATAGCTAGACCTGGTTCTGCTGTGATAATTTTACAGCAGTGAAGGCACACTCCCTTCCCCTTCCTTCCCAGTTACAAATGCTGATGACTAATAGCTAATGCATTTCCTCACTCAAGAGAGGTGAAATTTCTCCAAATACATTTGTCTCCGCATCATAATGAATGACATCACTCAGTTTGTCTTTCCTCACCTGCTGTATTCTCTCAACAGTCCCATGGTCCTGACTAGATGTTGGCCAAAGTACTGATCTGCATTATCAGGCAACATTAAGGCGTAAGAGTTGGGTGGTATTACCATGCAATAAATGATGTACCCTTAGCAGTCCTACTAGCTCTCTTAATGTACTCAGCAGGAAATGTAACAAAATGGCACTCTCCACATTACAGAGTTCTCCAAGAGGGAGGAAAAATTACCCAGATTCTCCATTACTGTTGCATAGACAGGAGAGAGCTGCTAAGTGAAAGCACTTTTTCTTTCCACGGAAGTCTACAGGCAGGTCATCAACGTTTCCACGGTATCAAGGGCATTTTATAAAACTTTGTAATACCAGCATAGGATGCTCATTCTTTGCCCAAGGGCTGGGCGGGTGTCGTTGATAACTGCAGCTACTATACTGTCACACTCAAATCAGGTCGTTGGCAAGGTCAAGGTCAGAGACCCCTACAAACTGGGAGACTTAGGGGGAATTGGGAGGCTTGGGGGGAGTAGATGGGTCAGACTGTAACAGGAGACCCAGGCGTTTTTGATGAGTCTCTCTTCACACTTCTGGTGTCACTGAAATGATCCATGGGCTTTGCTAGAGCTTTATCTAAATCTCTAATTTCCAAAATAGGCTTTTGTTGCTTCTGCTTTTTTTGCAGTTGTATGCGATGTGTGGTTTCTGCATTCTTCCCACACTACAGACCAAGAAGTTCATTTGATGTTTTGAACTTCAGAATTTGCCTTCCCTGGAAGCAGCCATGAATATTCATAGCAATTGTATATGCTTTTAAGAGAGAGTTGTCCCGAAGGTGGGATGCTTTGTGTGCTGTTCTGTTGTTCTTGATGTGCTGAGGTAGGTTTGAGCCACCCCGCATACCCAGGAGAGTCTTAGAAGTTTTTCAGGAGAGGAAAAAACCGTCATAGGTTTGTGGTTGTACTATATTGTCAGACTGTAGTTTAAAAAGGAATTGGCAAATTACGTGTGTCTGTGTATGTATTTGCCTAACGACTAAGACCAAATGCGATTTGTCAATTGCGGAAGAGTTTTATCCCATAAAATGATTGTAACAGGACAATTCTGGCTAGAAGTACACTCGTGTGATTCCCAGGTCTTTCAGAAGGAAACTTTGCACACATTGAAGAAGGCTTTGGTTTATTAGCCTGGTTGCAATGAATGGAAAGTATAGCTCTAACTGGAGAGTCTGTTGTAAGAGATTTCACTGTTGTGAATCCCCTCAGGTATTGGTGTTGTAAAGAGTGTAAAAACAGAACAGATGACAGAACGTTGCATGTGAAAATGAATGGAGCTGGGGTAAAAGCGATATGCTTTGTTTAAAAAAAAAAAAATTTGCTGCTGTGTGACTGATTCCTTGAGCTGTGAACGTGCCAAAATTTGAAAATAATACAGTGTTTGTGCTGAAAATTGTCTAATTCAAGTTTATAAAAAACAGCTTGGAAAGCAAACAAATAACATCTATGCAAGTATTGAAATAAAAGATTTTGAAGAGTATTTTAACTTGGTGCACCCGAAGAAAAGCACACAGCCCCCGTCAGATTGACATACTGTTTAATATTCCAAGCACATCTCTCACTAAGCACTGCAGAATTGCTGTGTTCAGGTTAAATGATCAGCAAAAAACCTTTCTTCCTGTGGCTTCTTAAGTTTATTCAAAGAGAAACTGAAAAGCAGAGGGAAATCCCTTCAAGCACAATTGGAAAGAGATGGGATTTCCCTGTGTTAATTTGATGCTTTTTTGAACAAACTCAGATGTTACAAAAGAAAACTTGTTGACTTTTTTTTTTTAAATGAGACACGATTATTATGGTGTGTCTAGTGATGCTTTTGAAATGTCTTTATCTAACATTTGTAATACTCTAACGTGAGTATCCAGCGTTTAGTCTTCTAACCTGAAAAGTGTGTTAGTTCTCGTTCTTCAAAATACTCTTTCTCACTAGATGTACTCACTCACTTTTTTTCTCTGTGTTTTACTGGTAGTGTGTCAAAGGGAAATACACACCTCCTGATACATGTGGCATGCAGTCATGCCCAAACAGCAGTTTCAGGCACAACTCTGAAATATGACAGTAAGGAAAGTGGAACAGAGAAAAGCTAAAGTCAATGTGAATACCAAATGGTACCGCACTCTTCTTAACTAGGTGCCGTATGATGGACTGTATTTACTCATCATTTAGGTAAATGGATACAAAATTTTTTAAAGCCTTAGATGACAGGATTCTTGTAGGTATTTTAATGCTGAAAGGATGTTACTCAAAATGAAAGAAAATACTAGTTCAGAAGGGAGATTCCATGCATTGAGAATGGTTGAGCTTCAGATTAAACAAATTATCTTTTACTGCATCCATTTTTGAGGATTAATTTTATAGCTTTTTATTAAAGCTATCTTTTTTTATCTTTTATTGCATCCATTTTTGAGGATTAATTTTATAGCTTTTTATTAAAGCCAGCTGGTCTGACATGGGTAAGAATAAGTCCTTGGCAGGATGTGTTCACAAGCAGTAGTGTTTTACCATAAACAGGCCCAGCAGGCAAGCCCTTGTATTACACAGATTATTGCAGATTATGTGACATCTTCTGGCATTTCAGATCTCTGGTTGCAGAAGGTGCAAGCCTCCTGCTTTGTGTTGACCAAGGCAATGTGAAACAACTCGGATGTAACATTTCTGATCTTAGTGATGGTTTCAAGTGGGATGGGAGCAGCCTCTTTTTTATCCTCTTCCAGTTGCTGTACAAAACAGTGTGGTTTGATACAAGCGTTTGCAGTAGGAAGGAGGAGGGTACCTTACACCAGCTGCTTCACATCTGTTCTCATTGCATGTTTATCTTGTTCTAGGGCGTGTTGGGCAAGCAGTAGCACTACGTGCCAAAGCCTTTGGCTTCAGTGTGATTTTCTATGACCCATACCTCTCAGATGGCATGGAGCGTGCTCTGGGACTGCAGCGGGTGAGCACTTTGCAGGACCTGCTGTTCCACAGTGACTGTGTTACCCTGCACTGCAACTTGAATGAACACAATCATCATCTTATTAATGACTTCACCATAAAGCAGGTAATAATCTCTGTGGGCGCCCTCCACACCGGTGCTGGTGGCTGACACTGTATAGCGTTTATTGATGTCAACAGGCAGATTCTCATTTGAAAGAAGTTTCTCTCCCTTTTGCTACTTTGAGATCAAGCAGGTTTATAACTGTTTAGGAAATAGCTTATGTGTTGTTGCTTCTATTGTCTTTTTTGCTCAGTAACATTACATTTGTGGAAATAATTTGCTCTTCTTAATGTTGTTCGGATTTAATAAAGTTGCATTTATGTAAAAGCACTTTTTCTATGTCTTGTAGTAGCTACTTCCTTTACCTGTGTATTTTCAGGTAGCAATTCTGCCTTTCAATCTTGTTCTTCAGTTTGAGTTCTTTAGATGCAATTTAAGGATTATGACTAAATGGCTCCCCCCTGTGCTCAGTCCTGATGCTTGCAGAGCGCTTCATGGATGGATCGTGTTTACAGCATTGCATTATTTGGAAAAATAATGTTTCTTGGAATTAGTACTAACCTCTCCCTAAAGTTTTAGGTAATACTAAAATAATTTCAAAATCTAGGTGTAGTAACTGCTCTGATATTGACTAATCTGATAGTAAGCTTTTTCATTAAATGTCTAGCTTCTGACTTCAACCTCAGTGTAGGTAACAGCAAGAAATACAACGTTGAGATGTAAGAATGTAGATAGTGTACAGGAAAGAAACTCTAAGGTAGTTGCTTTTGCTGTTTTTTATATATGTGGTGTTTGTATGTGTTGGTAACAGTGACAGTAGCACTCTTTTGCAGTAAAATCATTGCTTGGCTTCTGAGAAATAGTTTGCACCTACTACTCTTGAACTTTAGGAGAACTGAAGTAATTACTGAATGTGTTCCACAGTCATGTAGGATCATGGCAGAAAACTGACGATATAACACACTCCTTGATTTGAGACTTTAGGGATTTTGCAGATCTATCCCAACATAAAATCAGGGTTTGGGATTTAAAACTCTAAAAAATTAAGAAGTTTAAAATGCGAATCTCTAAGAGAACAGAGCTCTGTCACCCTGCCCTGAACATTCTCTTTTGTTGTGTGCTCAGGTACATTTAATGGTTATTACATGGTTAGATGTCTTTGCAAGCAGACATCTAGGCCCAGACAGAATCACATGGAATTCAGTGGGACCGCCTGGAGGCTTAGCAGTGGTCACTCATTATGCAGTGGACTGTAAAACTTGGGCCAGTGTGTCATGCGAAGTTTTTGAGTGGAGGTGGATAAATGCGATGAGCTTTGGAGAGGGCTTAGTGCATTAGAGAAACAAACAAAACAAAACAGGTTAAAACTGAGTGATACCATCTGAAATGAAATGCATATAATAAAGTCTTTACTGGAAAGGATGTCATAAGCATTTATCTTGCTATTTGTTATCCTTCATGATTAAAGCAAGGATTAAAACATTAGAATATAGTTCTTGCTTTGGATAAAAGTTTGGATGAAGCAGTCTATTGTAAGAGCTGATGTGAAAACCATAAAATTGTAACACCTCTGACTGCTGAGGTTATGTAGAGGAGATCTTCTGAATATGTATCAAAAAGAGCAGAATAGGTTTTTTAGGCTGACAGATGTTAGAGTTGGCCTAAAATTTTTGGAGAGCATTGCATGCCACTTTTGTCCAATATTGCATGCTCATGTAATAACCAGTTTTTAAACAGTACAGAGAAGTACGGTGCATCTTATTTCACTGAAGTTTCACCCTGAAATTTATTTAGAATCTGAAACTACATAACCTTGAAATGTCTTTGAAAATTTGGTGTCAGTCTTCTCTTTCAGTAGCTTTTCCCTTTAATTAGTCAGCATTCTGCGTAGCCATCGTGCTTGGTCTTGTAGACCCAGAGTAGCTCAGAGAAGTGTTTCAGGCTTGTGTTTATTGAGCCCATGGTAATCAGGTGCTCTTAAGAGAAGCTGAGGTCATCTTTAGTTTTACAGATTTGAGAAAAAGACACTGCAATTTAAATGCAATACATTTTTAAAGCAGCTCTGCAGGTTTAGTGTAGGTGAATTTAACAGCCATCAGCAGTTCTAGCTGTGAAGCTCTTTCAAGCTTCCACCCATTGTTCAGGGTCATCTCCAGCTGCATCCACCCTTATAGTTTATCATGAGTCACGTAATTCATTCCCACTAGAATGCATTTATGCCTCCATGTTCTGTTTGATTTGGGCTTGTCTTAGTACTAGCTTTAGAGTTTTGTAAATAGTCCTAAAATGAAAACTCAAGCAAGGTTATTAAGATTGGACAGAAAATTTTAGCAGGGTTCACTTTGATTAAAATTTTCAAGTCCTTCAAAGGGCATATAAATACACTAAGCTATACTTAAAACTCAAATTATCTATTGCAAGAGCACAGAAATAGGAAGGGTATATAAGCTCCCACGAGCCTATATGGCATGTCTGCACAGCAGGTGTGATTGTCACTTGCGTGAGCCCTCCTGTGCTAGTTTTGATCTAGTTCTCACAGCAGACTTAAGTAGTGGAGATGAAGTGATGGTTCCCTCACAGCAGACTTAAGTAGTGGAGATGAAATGATGGTTCCCATCAGGAATGTCTTGTTACTACACCAACTTAAGATCATGCCACCATTTCTTCACTGTTCTAATTCCCAAGTTAATTACGTAAAACTGAAAGAAGTACCCCTTAGTTCTGCTCCTGTAAGTGGACTTTGGTTTTGCTATACAGGCCAGTAGATGGTTCTTTTGTAAGCCCAAGAGTCTGCAAACAGAGAGAGGCAGGGCTACATTAAACCTAGTGAGTTGGCCAGTAAAAAATGGTGGGTTTTTTCGTTATAACCTTACTGCAAGCATATGCATGTTAATTGTTTAATATTTCCTATGAGCTCATGTAAAAAAAATTCTCGTAGCTGACTTTCATCCAAACCTCCTTGTTGTTCATGAATTTGGCATTTTGAATCAGTCTTTCAGAGTAAGGATCCATTTACATAAGCTTTGGTTTGATGTGTAGGTTTCAAGTAGTTGACTTGGTGTCAAAATGTTGGGGTTTTCTTGTTCTTATGGTGAGAGATGGAGTCAGTACAAAATGAGATTTTTAGCATTCATCTTCACCATGGTTCCTGCTCTTCATATGCTTACCTTCATGCACAGAAATGCTTCTGAGTTCAGAAGCTGTGTTTGAGACATCTGGTAAAAGATGAAGTATTAGGGTGGCTGGAAGCAGGATGTAGTAATTTATTTTTTTTCCGTACCATCTCTCTTATTTAAACCGCCACTTTGTTTTCGAGTTGTGGATATATTATGGTGTAAATTCTCGTAGTTCTCCCCACACAGTGTCATCTACAATGCTAATCTGCACAATGCGCAGCACAGCTTCTCTCCTGGGCACACAGTGTTCTCAACCAAATTCATTTTCATGCCTTTTAATTGAATAATATAAGAATTCTTTAGACCTTTATTTGAAAAGTCTCACAGGGAGGAGGAAGCTGAAGTAGCAAAAATAAATAAAACTTAGATCTACTGTGTTTGGCAACTAAAGGGAAAAGTGTTTGAAAATCCAAAAGCATTGATTTTTCTGAAAAATTCATGTAGGCTTTTATTTGTGTGAAAGTTGAAAACCACAAAATATGAATTTGTTTAAGAATGTGCTGTAGTTTCTGTCTCATGCAATTTCACAGTGAAATAAAAAGGCATAAAATGATCTGTCACTTTCATATGCACAGTTGTATCTGTTGATCATGTTACTGCACAATATCTGAAACAACGCTTCTATTAAAAGACACTACTTACAAGAAACAAAAGGTTATTAAGTGCTGTGAAATAGCATTTTATGTTAGAAGCATCACATTTTGTGGTACTTTCCAATGGAAAGGGAAGACAACTGTCACAGGTTACATCAGCTGAATAGCCTTTGTTGTAATGGATGCTTCTTTTGAGTAAAAACTAATGCCACAACGATTTTATTTCATTTATTTTTATTTCATCATTCTTGTTTTTAACTTTCCCTAGATGAGACAAGGGGCTTTCCTGGTCAACACAGCTCGAGGTGGGTTAGTAGACGAAAAAGCACTTGCACAGGCCCTGAAGGAAGGAAGGATACGAGGGGCAGCCTTAGATGTACATGAGTCAGAACCATTCAGGTGCTTTTCCTTTTCTTTTCTTTTTATTTTGTTCACTTTCTTATTTTTAAGTCTTAGTGCATGATACAATCAACAGCAACAAGTAAATTGAGTTTTCCCTTCATTTGGTAGCTAAATACTCCTTAGTAAAGCAACATGAATCTGTGCAGCACTGGACTAATGCAAATGTAGATGGAGCTTGTGTATGTGGTCAGAAGTGAAAAAAGTGACTTCCAAGATTTAATTCCTTAAAAAAAAAAATCCATTGGGTTTATTTAGTAGAAATAGCAGGGACTTGGGTTCAAATCCTGGGCACGGCTTTGTGTCATGGCTTTGAGGGGAGTGCTCCTTTGTCATTGATGCCACTCTGGACACAACTAATGTTGATGTCTGAACAGACTCTTTCAGAAGGCAAAGAGTTGAGATTTGGTGTGAGAAATAACTACTTTATGACACCTTTCTGGAGGAAAAGACATATTTCTGTCCAGATTGCCTCTGCAGGAAAGCCATAAATGTAACAGGTTGCAAAAAAAGTTAAGGTAAGGAAGGTGGTCAGAGTGCAGGTTTTGTTTTGTTTTACCCTTTATCAGGGGAGTAGTAACTCTGCTGACATTAGCAGAGCTGGTAGCACAAGCCTTAGTTTTTGAATGACACTGAGAAGTCCAGCGTTTTAGGCAGAAACGGACCACTCCCCAAAGTGGCATCGGTGTTACGGTATCAGCACTCCTAATCAGAAACGAGCCTATTTGATACGTCCTTGAGTCTTGAGCCTGACTTCTGAGTTGAGTTATGAGCATAGACTGCTGCAGCTTAGTGCTTGTATGTGGCAAGCCTTTTTCAGTTGTTCAGTCTGGGCGGGCAGAAATGTTAATTTTAACTGGAACAATCCACAGAAGTTTTTGAAGAGGAACAGATTCAGGACTTGAGGGCAGGTTGTAAAGACTGGAGAGAGGACAGTCTCTCTCGTATCAGCTTGGTGGGGGATTAGAAGCTTTAAAAAAATAGAATAGTACCCTTTTAGGTAGAATTTTTGTATCTACTGAGACACAATGCCACATCACAAATATTTAATTTTATTTATGCATACCCTGCATTCATTTACTTCTAAATGTAGTCATTACAATGCAGTAGTGTTGTGCAAAGCCAGAGTCTAACAGCTCAAGGGACTTTCAGCTGCGTACATTCTTCCCAATTCAGATCTCAGATCTGCACAAGCAGACCGTTGCACCTATAGGAAGCCCCATTTGCTGCATGGAGATGCCATCTGCAGAGATTCAGTTGCAGGATTACAGCCACAATTTCCTTTGGCTTCAGTGCTGCACGTCTATCTGATCGCAGCATGCAACTCTTTATTCAAGGGTTTTGCCAGATACTCTGATGTTTATTGAACTACAGATGAGATCTATCATTATATGAATTATGACCAACTCTGAAAGCACGCTTTTGTCTTAAAATATTTGTTCTCCTGTTGTTACAGTTGACTGTAAGATTATTAAAACTGGAAATAAATAGGAGGAGCAAGTTTCCATTATTTTCAGTTTCTTTACTCTGTATCTGTGATAGCACTTTTACACAGATTCATTGCTTTCCCTGAAAATCAATCTGTAAAGTAAATTTCCTTCTTTCTGTGAAGTTTCTATAAAGGAACAGGAAAGAAAAAATAGTTAAAAATAACAGAAAAAAAAAATTGAATTATCAAAAAAAGTTAAGGCTGCTGGTGGACACACTTCTTATTTGGAAATAATTGTAAGATTTTTTTCTTTAAATGACTAAATGTCACATTGACAGTGACTCTTGAGAGAACAGAGCTTTGTTGGCTAATGCAGTAAAAGTAAAACTGTGATGAAATGGACAAATGGAATGACATCCTGCATTGATTCGGGTCTTGCTTCATGCATTTCTGCACCAGAACTGGAGTGGCAGTGGCTGTAGTTAGCAGTAAGTGCATTGGACAGAAGCTAATGTTGTTACTATACTTAGTCTATGAGTATAGTATATATTTTACCCTTTGAGTCTATGAGAGGTGATTGTTGCTTATTAATACCATGAATAGTGTATTAAATTAACTGACAGAATTAAAAACAAACCCAACAAGGAATAGAAATGCAGTTCTTTTCTGTTGTAGAAATTAATCTGTGTATGTACAAATCCATCTGGATCCCCCTCCTTCTTCCCTCCCCTCTTCTCCTCCCCCCCCCACCCCCCATTATATTTTTGTCATTTGATCTTGTTTTAAATCTTTGTTTAGCTTTAGTCAGGGCCCCTTGAAGGATGCACCAAACCTGATCTGTACCCCACATGCAGCCTGGTATAGTGAACAAGCCTCAATTGAGATGCGGGAGGAAGCAGCACGAGAGATCCGAAGGGCGATCACAGGTACTAACTCACCTTATTAACTCCTTCACTGCGTATTTCTTTTTAACAATCTTTTTCATTCTTCAGTCTTGAAAGACGCTGAAAAGAGCCAAGCTTAGGTTTTGTTTACCACTTCTAATACTTGGAACGTAGAAACTAGCAAATACCCACTAAGTCTGTTCTCAGAACTGGAACAGATCATTTTGGAGGTTCATTGCAATTACAAAGAGAAGGCAGGCACTGCAAAAATAAGTACTTTTTCCATATAACAGAAATGTACTTACATGTGAAAAAATCCACTTTGTTGTTGTTGTTGCTTGTAAATATTACCCATTTGATGGGTTTGACTGCAAGTCACCCAGATACTGCTGGTATCTTTCATAGGTTTTCCTAGATGCCCCCTTATACTTGTCATGAGCAGTTCTGTTTCCTTTATTCTTCTCTTTTTGGCTCCTTTGTATTTTCCAAATTTCATCCAAATTTGTCTTAGAGGACGGTCTGGAATTTCAGTGTCTTTAAGGCTGTAATGTTCAGAGGTAAAGCATCTAGAGCTTCATGCTGTTCCTAGTAATGCTCATATCTCGACAACTCATTCTCTACGTCAAAATAAAGTTTTCAGTATTTTGTTGGGCGGGTGCTCTATTTTAGATGTTCCTCTCTTTAAAGCATTGCTAAGGAAGCCTGGCATTTTAAAGAGCAAAGTCTCTTTGTTATATAACTACCATGTAATTGTAACTGTTCACATAAGAGAAAACAGTTATGTCTTGAACATGCACTGCTAATAAATAAAATGAGAAGAGCGAGCCATTTGGCATGGGTTTGAATCCCTTGTAGCCTAAAATGAAAGGAAGGATTTTCATACTGGAAAACGATTCATTAAGCACTAATGTTCTCTCTTTAGTAGGACTTTGCTGTTTCCCCCTTGGCAATATAGGGTGAATGCTCTGCAGACATGAAGGGCCATCTGTGTCACCTTGAGAGTAGCTCAGTGCCAACACATTGCTCTGCTATGCGAAAAGCACTAGCAGTAGCTTTTCCTGTATCTTGTGCCTAGAGAGGCTGGGCAATTTAGTTTCATTTACAGCCTGTGCAGAAAGAAGATTCTCTGGATGGTGATTAAAGGCACCTCTTAAACTCGTGGTCTGAATTGCCCTTTACAGGACTATTTCTCTCTGTTTTAGAGGTAACTTAAAAGAGTCTGACCATCCCTTTGCTCATACTCCAGAAGAACTCTAATAGTATGTTCGTTAAGTTGTATAACTATTACCTGCTCCCAAATAGCTCTGGGAGCGATTGCACAAACCAGCATACGATACCTACTTGGGGGATGATTGATGTGCAAATAAGCATTAACAGGCTAAGATGTGAAAACTGAGTAAGAGTCAGCAGTACGGAGCTAGTTTTATGTTAAATATTGTGCAATAGCCCAAACATATGTGCCTGGGATGACAGACCTATATTTTCTTCAATGTGTGATTGTGCTATCAGCAATCTAAATCATTGATTTGTATTGAAGCTGTCAGCACTTCAGTGTTTGCACATGGTTTGTAGTAAGATCAAACTGAGGCCAACATTAGGGAGGTGAGAATGACATTGAATTACAGTGAAACAAATGTGGGAAAGATACAGGAAGTGTGGGATAAAGCTGGATACGTGAAAGCCATAGGGGAACACAGAGGAGAGAGGGTGTAGAGAGAGAAACTAATTGGAAAAAGGTGTACAGTGAAGGAATGCAGGCTATGACTACCATCTGATGATAAAGATGTTAAGTGGTTCTGCTGTTCCCAAAAAGTCAGTGACGTTCTGATGTATAAACTAAAAATAATAAGCAGAGATTAAATATCTTTAAATATATTTTTGAACATCAAAACATTCAAAGTTATTAAATAAGGAGGACCACTGAAAACAGTAATGGAAGAAACGGGAAGGCGAGCGAAAAGATCATTAGTGAAATAAGCTTTAAATAAATAAATAAATACTGTTTTGTAAGGGGAGACTAGTAGAACATGCCTACAGAAGTTAGCAAAATGAAGAATTGAGAGGGGCAAGGAGGAAGACAGGATTGCAGTTTGAAGGATAAACATCGGAAGAAGAAAGATACTATTCAAATTTATGGACAATCTTGGCAGAAGTTTAGATGAATATGTATTTCAACTAACTTTTGAAGATGATTTCTAATCAGGAGAATGGTAGGAATTCACCCATGACGGAGCATGTACCTCATCTTGTCCAATATTGAACTAAGAAGCCCTTTCGGCTTGTGCATAGGAGATGGGGAAAGTTTTAGTGACATAAGCGCAAGTCATGGAGTAACAAGTATTTGATAGTATCCACTAGACAAAAAGCAATTCTGTGAAAAGGCTTTTTTACAGCCCCATTGTGGCCAGGCTGATGGATAGAAAGAGCAGGCAAAGTAGTGAAGTCCTTAATCAAATTTCCAGTAGGAAGTCAGAGACAAAAAGCCTGAATTCTTTAATGATGGAGCATGGTCAATTTTTGAAAGCGTTTCTGGAGGACTACTGCCAGCAGTAGCAGAGGTAGACTCGAACTCGGCTCTTTCTACTTCTGTGCGTGCAAATGCGCAGTAAGAGTAGACTTTAGAAAGGATACATTAAAACAGATGTCAGAAAAAACACAGGCTCCGATTGATCTCCCGTTGAAATAGGTGGAAATATTCCTGTTGCCATGAAGAAAATGTGTATCGTATCTGTTCATGTCATTTTTTGCAGGGCTGGAGATAGTTCTGCAGAAGACAGTCAGAGGCTTGTCCAGTATGTGCTGAATCAGGTTGACAGATTTTCCAGTATCTGTGTCTTAAAACTTTAGTTATACTTCAGAGGTTAAGCAAAAGTTTTGAAGGAATGAAGAAGGGGGTTTTCTGGTGTATTTTCATTTTTTGTAGGAATGAAAGAGATGGCTGAGGATTAATAGATCATAGTAAATAAATGTGAAGAGCAATTGAGATAAAGAAGGGGAAGATCAGGAGGACATGAAAAAAGTGTCGGTCATATTCAGGTTTATGGCAAAATTCCATTCAGAATCCTACATTCTTCAATAAGTGTTTTTATTGCTGTTACACGTGGAGGGAAAGGGAGGAAAATGAAGTTAAAGACAGAGAGCAGGAGGCTACATTACTGAATTTGAGTGGCAGCCATGCTCTATATTCAAGATATAGCTTCTTGGAAAGCATGAATCTTGTTGATTATGGTTTTACTAAGACCCTGTATACAAAAGACAGAGACAGAGAACTAAAAATTATGCAGAGCATTTTACCCATTATTAACTAAGTCTCAGACAAAAGGGGAGTGGTGAGGATCAAAGCTCTTAGTGTGATTTTTATGTATTGATTTAAATATGCAACTATTTGTAACTATTTTTAACATAGATACATTAAGAGCATAAGGCATACAATTTTTATGGTTTTTTATTTCCTCTCCCTCACTTCCTCCTAGGTCGTATTCCAGACAGTCTGAAAAACTGTGTTAACAAAGATCATTTGACTGCAGCTACACATTGGGCCAGCATGGATCCTGGAGTTGTTCATCCAGAGCTTAATGGTGCTGCATACAGGTAAGCGTGCTGCAGGTGTAAAAGAAATACCTCCTTAATTCAGAGGTATGTATTCCGGAATAAATAAAAGACCTTCCTATTAAAAAATGAAGTGGTTTTGGATGAGGACCCAGCTATATTGTTTTCATAATTGTTGCATTCAGGAGAGTGATCTTGGTTTGCTAGCTGAAGTCAGTCATGCAGTGCATAAGTACGTTTCCTTTTCTTATCTTTTTTGTGTGGTCAGTAATATCTAAACAATATACAGTGTTTTCTGTATTCCATTAAAACAATTCTGGTCATCTCCAGTGAATGCAGTAGAAGTTTATGTTCCTTTTGCTGAAGGTAATGATACAGCAGTAGGTTACAGAAAGACTTTTAATAATAAACTATTGTTATGTGGTTTTGTGGCCTCCAGACACACAAGAGAACAAATAACTTAGTAGTGAATACAGTGGAATAGCCTGCGCTGATTATGAAAATATGTTTAAACTAGTGTTTTCTAAATTACATGTTGTCCTGGTTTCAGCTGTGGTAGAGTTAATTTTCTTCCTAGTAGCTGGCACAGTGCTGTGTTTTGGATTTAGGGTGAGAATAATGTCGATAACGCACCGATGTTTAGTTGTTGCTAAGCAGTGTTTACACTAGTCAAGGACTTTTCAGCTTCCCATGCTCTACCGACTGAGCAGGCTGGAGGTGCACAAGAAGCTGGGAGGGGGCACAGCCAGGACAGCTGACCCAAACTGGCCAAAGGGACATTCCATCCCATGGGACGTCATGCTCAGTACATAAACTGGGGGAAAGCTGGCCGGGGGGGCCGCTGCTCGGGGACTGGCTGGGCATCGGTCGGCGGGTGGTGAGCAATTGCACTGTGCATCACTTGCTTTGTATATTCTTTTATTATTATTGTTATTACTATTTTATTTTATTTCAATTATTAAACTGTTTTTGTCTCAACCCACGAGTTTTCTCACTTTTACTCTTCCAATTCTCTCCCCCATCCCACCAGGGTGGGGGGAGTGAGCGAGTGGCTGTGTGGTGCTCAGTTGCCGGCTGAGGTTAAACCACGACACATGTTTAATTTTTAAGCAAAAGCATTTGAGGGACTTGATCTATGTATTCTCAATCAACTGTGAAGGCAGCTCTTAATAATTAATAGAAAGGGGCAATTTTTTTATGTCTAATAGGTACGTTCCTTAGTTACTTTGCTTGAGAGTCGTTCTCTGTCCCTTTATCCCTAGCAGCTGTTCTAGCAGCAGATTTTTCTGAGTAGCCAGCTTCGCATAATTTTTATTTATGAAAAACATCTGCAATTTTTTATCTTCCAGTATGGTATTTACTCATCAGTAGAATGAAAGGGGCTGAGACAGCTACAGACACCTGCTTCCCTCAACGCCTTGAGGGAAGGGACAGTGCAGTACTTCCATTATTTTTTTATACCTCTTTGTCGTAATCTTTCCGCTGTCCTTCTTCACACATCTTTCTTATCTTTGTCCTTCTTTAGGAGGGCTATCCCATACTTTTAATACATACAGGATTTTTTTGTGTGTGTTACCCCATATGAGAACCCAGCTGTGCAATGCTGAGAAGTGAAGTAAAGCTCTCGTGTCCCAATGAGTTCTAACAGTCTCATCAGGAAGCGATGGAGAGATGATGGGGGGGAGCGTCACCACCCTCTGCCATAATCTCCTTTTCAGTAGCTGTAAGTGCACCAAAGGAAAAGAAAAACTTTGATTTGATCAACATGCGTATATCTCACATCACGTCAAGACGTTTACTTTTTTAAAAAGTACCCGCAGCCCTAAATATCTGAAGAAGGGTGTTTTTATTTGCTTAAATGAAAATTTCAAGCACATGTGTTCTCTTCCACACAGCATGTGGTTTCATTGACTTCAGTTTGGAGTACTCAGGGTAGAGCTGAATGCAATTGAGGCTTAAAGGCAGGTGTTGCTGAACAGGGGGTAATAACTCCAACCCTGTCATGGCAGTTAGGAACAGGGTTGCGTGCCCAAATAAAATGCAGTTGTTTGTTCTCATTTTGGGGGTCACAAGTCCAGCAGAAACAGGCTTCACAGCTAGAAATGGATTTTAACTTAGGAATGTTTTGGAAGTTAATGATTTACAAGGTAAAGACCATATGTATTTAATTCAAGCAGGATAAGCACAGAACTGAATGCCTTTTTTAGACATTGTTTCAGTCGTTTCAATAAAGAAAATTCATTGCAAAAAAATTTTGACTTGACAATTATTTTCAAATGCAAAATAAAACTTATTTTGGGAATTTTGAGGGAGAAGTTAGTCATACAACAAATACTAAAAGCTTCTTTCTGGAGAGGTGATAGAATAGTGTTTGAGTGTGGGTGAAGGCAGTTGTTATTATTCTGTGCAGTATAAAATATGCGGAACTTGAAGCTCAGGCTTTATGAAGAATTTGGTTTCAGTAGCAGTTTTTGCTGATACTTAATTCCTACCTGGATTAAGTACAGAATTTGGATTGATTTGTTCAAAACAAATTTTTTTGTCTTCTCTTTGCAATCCAAGATCAGGTTCAACTAGCTGAGTTCTGGAGTCTTTCACAGGCAGTATGATGTTTCAGATGTGCTAATAACTGTATCATAGTCATGTAATTGTATTAGAAGATAAGACCTGGGATAATAATTTATATGTTAAAAAATGCAAATAGCTCTTTCGGTGAACTAAATCTAATGGGGTTATTTTATTCTGGATATATCATTTACTTGTATTTTGATGTAGGACAGAACTCTTAAATTATCAGATATTATCGCAAGCAAAGAACACGGAGCATTCATCAGCAGAATATAATCTAGATCTTCTGAATATCATCGTATTCTGTGGAAAACAAACCCATTTACTATGTGAAATGCAAGATGCCCTATCAACACAAAAGGTCAAGCAAACGGGACCTATCCCATGAGTAAAGATTAATGATATTCCTGAGAAGGAACTATTTGTTATAGTCTTGGGGAAGCAGCATAATATACCCATAGCCCGCTTTTGTGTTATTACTGTGTATTTGTTACTGAGCTGCCTGTTAAATAACCCCCTGCCATTTCCTCTGTCCCAGAGTGTGCAGGCTATAGGCAAAGTGAAATTCAACAGCCAAGAAACAGTGATTGTGCCATTTACAGACGTGTTGACATATTTTTCTGCCTTCTAACAGGTAGAAGATCCAGGTACCGAAGAGGTACTTGGATGAGAATAGTTAGGTGTTGGTAATTCAGGAGTTACTTCATGCGCAGTTAAATTTTTAAGCTCTTTTGGGACAGACTCAGTTTCTTGAACAGAGCTTAACATGGTGCTTCAAGGTGCTTCTGTAGTTTAAAAAATGTAGGAGATTAACATAGAAATTAAAGTTGCCTTTCAGTTGTAATTGAGGGGTACTGTATTTTTCTTCATAAATTAAGACTATGTGGGGGAAGGGGAAGAAAGAGCATGAAGTAGCAGAGGAGGTATAACTGATCTCTCGCTTCTGCTTTCGCAAAAATTCAATTCAGTGGACATTTTACCTGGAAAACGTATCAATTTATTGCTACCAGAGGAGGAAGATTGGGAGCAACTTTATGAAGTGCTGTAGGGAATGTATTTGCTGGTTAAGAATAGAAGAGCAATAAATAGCAACATAAGGGAAGGTTATGTAGAGTAAAAATGCCCATGTATGGAGGCTGTTGAATTTATATGTTCTCCTTTCAGAGATACGATTTGCACAACACTGATGATTAAATTAAAAAGGGACAAAAATTATGAAAAGAGCATGGCAAAACAGGATTAGGAGTTGTCACGCAAAATACAGTTTCTGTAGAGGGGTATGTTATCTGTATTTTGGCTACTGCCACGGTTTAGCTTTAGGACAAGAAAAACAGTTGTAGGGCTTTTGGATGTTACTAAAAGTCTGTAGGAAGCCTGTGTCTGAGGAGAGGTGCTGGCAGGTAGAATCCTAATTATTATGACTTGGTCTCCAAGGGGAATGTTTTTATATACAGAAAGAATATTTGATGTCAAAGGAGAATTACGGATGTGTAGTCTGAACTGCTTAATGTGCTGATAAGGTAACTGTTAATGCTCCTGATCCAGCACCATCCATTTTCACGAGGGGAGGCTCTGACTTCTCTTCCTGTGGGAAACGCAGTTGCAGAATTTGCTCTCATCTTGATTTCTCCCAGCTCCGGTGTGTTGATGCTTGGGGAATATGTTGTTAGAAAGTAGAGATTCTGTGTTGGAAACGGTTGCTGTGTTGGGCTTTTAAATGGAAGTTTTTGTCGTGTCGTGTTGTGTTTTTTGCGAAGCACCTAGAGTAACAGATAAGCTGTTTCAAAATTAAATTTGAATAAATAAAACAATACCCAGTCTGACAGTTTTCATAGGAATTGAAGCAAATTTGATTAATAAGATTCAAATTGAGGTACTGAAACAAGCAACTAATTCCATTAGCAACTGCAAATTAATTCTAAGGAACCTCTCTGGAGAAGGAATTAGCATAGGAAGCCCTGCAAATATGTGTACCATTGGGAACAAAGTTCTGGCCTACAGGTGGTGTGATCTTTCACATACTGGTTATCCATCCCAGATTACAGTCAGTGGTATGGTCTGTAGGAATCTTTCCCAGGATGACCAGGCCAGTGTATGGTATCTTCATCGTCCCTGTGCCGTGTCGGATAGCCGTGCTGAGCCCCTCTGGCACAGTGTTTGCAAAAAGCAGTTCCCGTGGTGTTTCTGCGATGGAAGAAAAAAAGAACAAATCAATGTGCTTTCATCCAGCTTTTTTCCTCCTCTGAGTTTTGCGTAAGTTCTGCGCTAATTTTCTATCAGTTTGAGGGAACTGAGGATGAGCAGCACAAACATGCGTTACTTCAGAAAAGATGCTACTGAAACGGGGTGAAATTCCCTGACGCGTTCAGCGTTGAACTCTGATGAGAAGAAAATCAACAGCAGAATAATGTGATATTTGAAAAAAGCTTGACTAGACTACAAGTGCCTTTTCTGCCATTTAGTTCTAAGTAAATACTAGGGTAGCAAACGCCACAGTGAGTAAGTGGTAGGTTCGTCTGTTTAGGCTTTTAAATGGATAATGCTCTCGCTAGGATGCTTGGGTGAGCAGAATACAGCAGGAGAGAGCGAGGGACGAGTGTGCAGCTTTATGATGGGGGAAGCAAAGGGCCAGTGTTAAGCGGCCAGACTGAGGTAACTTGCAAATTGGTATTGAGGCACTTGGCTTAAAAGTGTTCATATGTACCTGTTGTTTACGGTATACAGTTTACAGTATACGGTATATGGCACTGTGAAATACCAGTGTTCATCAATTATAGCTGAACTTCGGGACTGAAGCAGTAGATTTGCAAAATTTTTTTAGCCTGATAATATCAGAGTCCTCATAAAATCAAGCTGAATCAGAGGGTGATTTTTTTGTTGAATTTGTAAAATATTCAGGCCTCGGTGTTCATCCAGAAGGAGTAACAAATCTTTAAAACCATCCATAGTGTTTTGTGTTTGCATCTCTCTCTCTTGCAGTCTGCCTAAAGCACTTGTCCTCTGTATAACTAGTCCTGGTTCTCTTTTCAGACAAGTACAGTGGCAAGTTTGATGCTGAAAAAGTTACTTGGGTGTAATAGGCTTGAATTTGTCATCTTAAGAGTGTGTGGGTATGATTGCTCTTTTGGGCAGCTATCAGAAAGCTACGACTGCAAGATTAGTTTAAAGAAATATTTTTTCAAACCACAGCAATGATACTTCAAAATTTCTGCGTGAGAATGAAGGAGAAAAAAAATCCCCGAAGGTCAACTTGAGGAAAAGTCAGAGAGAACAGATCGGTATTGCACGAACCTAGCCTGTGAATTACTTCTTGTTGAGGCATACTTTGAGAGGAGCAGTACTTCCCGGTTGTTTCCTTTGCTGTGCTGTCACTCATGCTATTAAATCTGAAATCTGAAGAAACAATCTAGCAAACCTTGTTTCTCATTTGGGTAAAAGACAGACTTTTTTGTTTTATTTAACAGCATCTGCATATGGTATCTCATCTGGAGCTTAACCAACTGTCTTTCTCACTGGTCTGAAAACAAAAGAAGCACCTCTCTAGCTCTAGAAGGAGGCAAGGCGGGCTTTCCGGCCAGTCATCCCTTGGTTTTCATGTATGTTCTCCTTTTCTTTTCTCAGCAGGTATCCCCCAGGCGTTGTAAGCGTGGCTTCAACTGGCATACCTGCAGCAGTAGAAGGAATAGTCCCCAACCCTATGTCTTTATCACACGGCCTCCCTGCTGTAGCCCACCCGCCCCATGCTCCTTCCCCCGGCCAAACTGTCAAACCAGAAGCTGATAGAGACCACCCAAGCGACCAATTGTAGCCTACAAAAACAGCATTCCCAACATCGGAGATTTCAACGTCAGCGTGTGGAAAACAAACAAACAAAACAAAACAAAACCCTGGATTTTGATTAAAGGCAAAACCATGAACTTACAGGAGGAGACGATTATTGGTTTAGAAACTGGTCCAATATACAGTATAAAAGGAAAAGGTGGGAGACAAAAAGAAGATTTGGAAACATTTTTTCCTCCGTATAAATTGTAGTTTGTCCCTGTCCAGTGGACTGATTCACTGTTTCTGTGTCCTATGGGTTCTTTGTTAAGCAAGAGAAGTTAGTAGTTAATTATATCATGAATGTACTTGTCTGTGTACAGTTTTTAGAACATTAAAAAGGGTTTGTTTGCTTAGCTGTCAACAAGGAAAAACATAAGGGAGGCATTCAACAAACCAATTTTGAGATTAAAAATCCTTTCTTTTATATTTTAAAACATGCCCAAAAATGAGGCAGTTGGCAAACTTCTCAGGACAATGAATTTTTCCCATTTTTCTTTCTACGCCACACAGTGCATTGTTTTTTCTACCTGCTTGTCTTATTTTTTAGAATAATTTAGTAAACAAAAGAAAAACAGTTTCTCCTAATTTTGGCATGAATTCCCTTATTTCAAAATGAAGACAACCTTGCAAAGAGATTTTGAGGAAAAAAAAAATAAGGTTTTGTATAAACGAGCATTGTGCTTTTTGTCACCAGTTAAAGTATATATTATTGGTGGTATGCGAAAAAGGCAATAGACTACTGAAAAGTAGCAGCTTTCTACGCCACACAGTGCATTGTTTTTTCTACCTGCTTGTCTTATTTTTTAGAATAATTTAGTAAACAAAAGAAAAACAGTTTCTCCTAATTTTGGCATGAATTCCCTTATTTCAAAATGAAGACAACCTTGCAAAGAGATTTTGAGGAAAAAAAAAATAAGGTTTTGTATAAACGAGCATTGTGCTTTTTGTCACCAGTTAAAGTATATATTATTGGTGGTATGCGAAAAAGGCACTAGACTACTGAAAAGTAGCAGCATTTCATTGCCTACATTGATTCCTTCCTGGTAATGTGGTAGGCTAGCAATATTTTTGGTTAAAATCATGTTTGTGACTGTAACCATTTGTATGAATTATTTTAAAGAAATAAAAATCCCAGACAAATATCATATGTGTAAAAATTTTTATTTCTAGTAACTGTTTATTCAACTTTTATTAGGTTTCTTAGCTGTAATTTTTAAACAGATGCTGTCAAGTATTTCATTTCTAGCTTTACTTTGCTCTCTGTTGTTTGTAATACTGTCTTGGAAGCTTGAAAAATAAAAAATAATAATTCTTTCCATACCATTTTTCCCTTTACATTTCGTAAATGTTGATCTTTTTTCCTGTGTTTCTAATGGAGTTTGAAATTAAGATGGATTTTGATTTGTACACCGGCATCATCAGCTACAATACGGTAACAGCATTTATGCCACCACTGTGGGCAGAGCAGAGGAGGTACAACAGCAACACGACAATAATAATAATAATAAACGTCTTTTGCCGAAGTCCAACATGAGAAGTGTCCATTGTTTTATTTGCTTTTGTGATGATGGAGGCGTGCAGCAGGACGTAATTGTATTTGCTATATTGAAGGAGTTTGTTTTTTTGAACACGGGCAGAAATGTTTTTAAGGCAGGTTGGATTTCAGCTGGAAGCTGTTTTGGCCTTTTCTGTGCTCCTGGATAAGATGTCCTTCATCCCTACGCAGTTTAAAAAGGCAAGACAAAAGTTTAGCTGCTGCAAGAAAGAAATCCAGGATGGGCAAAAGTGAACCTGGACGTAAACCTCCTCGGTAGTCTCTTGTCTATTTGTTCACTATTAATCTGAAGTAGTAACTGTGCACCTAAGGTTAGTGAGCTGTTTTTATGGGATGTATGAAAAGTTACTGTCCCCCATTCCTGCAGGTCTATCGAGTGGCCTCCACTTCTGTTAGGACAATTTTAGGAGGCCGCAAGTCAGGAAAGATTGAAACTTGCAGGGCGGTACCCAAGGAGCACTATATAAAGTGAAATCTTATCTCCGTGGAAGAGTGGAGGAAGGTGTTTGCCTTGAACATTTAGAGCCAAAAATGTCATCCATTACGATTCATTTGACGGTAAAACCATTCCTATTCCCTCCATGAAACAAAACAGAAAGCAGCCTTAAAGCTGCAAGTTATCCCAGCAAAGACACTTCTAACAGCTCCGTGGCCAAGAACTTGCAAAAAACCGAATGCAGTCTCCTGCGGTTGAAGTAGGATTTCATATTTCATTGGTAATTCATGTTTTAAGATGCTTCTTTGTCAGGCTGGAGATGCTTCTTTAGCATATGTAAAACAAACATTTAACATCTGGCTGCTAAGAATCGCTGACAGTCTCATTTGCAACCGAATTTCCTGAGGAAAACCAAGAGGGTTGTTTTTTTTTCCTTCTCTTGCATCAGTTTGGACGTGGCTTATGTAAGTAAGCTTTGTTTCCAGTGAATTGATAAATTGATGAACTAGAAATGAAGGCACCAGTATCTATTGCATGCACTTCTCGGGCACAGTTCTGAAGCTTGCTGTCCTTCAACTGCGTATTTTTGAGCCGTCATCTGTGCTTGCTCAGGCACAAACTTTTTCGGGATTTGAGCCTGAAATGCTGCACTGATGGGTGGGGAAGGGCAATGCCACTGTGGTGGTAACATGTTCAGTGGTTTTATGCTAGTGCTTGAAATACATCTGTCGGTCTGACTGGTGGAGAGTAATCCAGTTTCCTGCTGCTTCTGGAGCAGAAAGGAAAAGCCACCCTGGCAATGACAAGACCGATTGGTACTGACTTCTGGGTTATGGTCTTGAAAAGCTGAATTAAAAAAAAAAGGCTTGGAGTAAATGACTAACTGGAAAAGTGTACCCTAATAAACAAAGGCTGTTAGGCCAGGCTAAGCTTTTATCTTTTGCAACTGCTTTTGTTGGGTAGTGGAAATGTGATTAGGTTTCCTCTGTCTGGTAAAGGATGTGCTAAATAAAGTTTAGACAGAAGAAGACGCAGTTAGTGGGAAAATGTAAAGTGGGGAAGGCAGTGGCAGCAGAGGGCTACTGAGGCAGCGTTGGAAGGTGAAAGAGGAGGTAAGCAAAGTGCCTGCCCCAAACAGTCAGGATTTTTTTTGGTGCTGTTACTCGCATTAAGGATCTTGGCCAAGAAGGCGGCCAACCACTGAAACTGCTGCTGGCTCAAAGATCGTAGGCATCACCAGTGCACAGGAGGCTCTGGAGCCTGCACAAGAATTGGACGGTATCAAAGAACGGGCTGTTAGAAGCAGAAAGATACCAGTTGTGCAAATGCAAAGTCAGGTAGTTGCAAGTCAAAACAAAAACTTGGCAGAAAAAGGAGCCGTAGTGTTTTCCCACGTTAGGACTGACTGATTGCCGCTGTGGGGCAGCCGTGGAAAAGAACAGTGTGATGGCAGAGGCATCTGGCACAGTATTTTTGGTAGGGATGAGAATGGATCAGAGATGCTACACGGGACCTGGAGCGTTTGATGTGTAGTTTTGGTCACCCGTTTTTGTAAGTGTGAGCTCGAGCTGAAGTCAGCAAAGACCGGCTCTCAACGACTGAAGGTGCGGAGGGCCTATCGTGAGAGGAAATGAGAGTAACTCGGCTTTTTCAGCTTAAAGTGAAGGCTGAGCTGGGGAAATGACTGTAAATAGTAAATGCTGAGGAGGAGGGAGAAATGTTAAAGAAATGCTGGTATATGAACCATAATATACCAATATATGAAGCATAAATGGGGGTTAGGAAAAGATCTCTGTCAGCAGGGAGGTCCTGGGACAGGTTTCCAGCTGGGGTGACTGGGAGTCAGTCCTGAAGTCCCTGCAGCTTGGGTTGGGGTTTTTGTTCTGTTTTTGTGTTTGGGGTTTTGTTGGGTTTTGGTGAGTTGTTTTTTTTTTTTTTAATAACTTTGTTTTTATAATCCAAAGTGTGAGAACATTGTTTAAAGGTCATACAAGGTTGCCACCAAACCAACTAGAGGCCTTTTCCATTCAGGGTAAAACACTTCAGCTTCCTTTATAACAAGCCTCAGGGCTTTTTCCTTTAGTATGTTTTTTTTGAGAAAATGCCTTACTATTTTCTTGTCCAGCCTTCCACCTCAAATGATTAAGGCTGGCTTTCCAAATGGCTGTGACTGCTGTAGTCTGGCTGGTACCAGCTTACTCCTTGCCTCAGAATGAAAGGTTTTCTTCTCTTGTTTAATCTCAGCAGATGCTTCAATAATGTCAGTTGTTCTGCTTGAAGGAGAAGGCAGCACTGCCAGTATTTCCTTTATTCAGTTCATTCCAACCTTTCTACCTTTCGTAAATTGAAAAAAAAAAGGGGGGAAAAAAAAAAGCAGTCATCGGTTTTAAGGGCAGAGGGTAATATTAGATCATTTTGTCTGATCGCTTAGTAAAGCCGTTAAATGTGATATGCTTCTTCATTAAACCTGATACTGTGTTTTGACTGAAGTAAATCTTTCAGAAAGATTTCTAGTCTTTATATTAAAATGTCAAGCAATGGGGTTTTGCCATTTCCTTTGATAGTTTGTTTAAATGGGGGATAACTGTCACTATAATTTTTAAACTGGTTTATTTAATTTGGCTTTCCCTGTCTCTAAATTCCAGTTATTGTTTCGTGTTGAACATGAGGTCATGTAGGCTGACTTGAATTTAGTGAGCATGTCACATTTTAGCCAATTTGCCTTTGTACTGAGGTCAGTGACACATCTTCCAGGAAGACCAAACTGTGTTATTCATCTGTTTTCTTTTCCAGTTTCTTTCATTATACTGTACATCCTTTCCTTTGTGGCTCTGTATTTTTGTCCTTTCGAATTACGTAGTCCAATATGGTTATCTTCTGCAGATGAAATTGCAGGATTTCTGATCTTCTCAGACTTTCAGCTATTGTCTTCTTGCCTCCACTGACTTTCCGATTTCCTTGGTAAACTATTTTCCTGCAAAGTCACAAGTGCTTGAAGAACTTGATTAATCCTCTTCTCGGTCTTCAAATTGCATTTGCCTAGGTAGCACCTCATTAATAGCAAAAGCTCCACGTTGAGTAGATGCTCAACGCAGTGGTCCTGCTTTCGTAGTCCAAGTGCTCGCTTTCATCCCACCATCTGCACCCGTTGTGTGTCTGCCTCTTGCAGAACAGACCTTATCTGGGTCTCGTACCTTGTGTCGGGCTGTTTGTCCCTCAACATCTGCCTCCTGTCCTTCTTCCTTGTTTCCTTCTAGCATTCAGGGGACCTGGCACGTTACTTTTAGAATTCTTCCCTTTTTTAGAAGAAATGTCCTTTAGTCGGTTCTACTTTTCATCTGTGAGTTCCAGCTCAACACAGACCAGTTGTTTTTCAGCTCTCTCCTTGGCTGACCTCCATGCACACTACCTCGCTAAACCCATATCCAGTATTGTATTTTTTATGTCCACTTTTGGGCTTGGGATCGCCCAGTTGGTCTTTTTTTATGCAGTTCCTCACCTGGAGTTTCCTTCCTTCATTTTCTGTGCTACAGAAACAATTATGGCTCTTCAAATCTAGTCGCAGCGCTTTTTCTTTGCCTTTACGTTTCTGCTCAGAGTCATAACGGAGTGTTTTCTTGAAGGAGCATTGTTTGTTTTGGGGGGGGTTGTGACACTGTGTCAAGACCACCATGAACAGACTAAAGTATGTCCTTGGGATGATTAGAGGCATTTGAGACATTTCCAAGATGAT